CAAAGGTGAAAAACCTGAACGTTTCTTTTTTCGGTCCGAAAGTTCTTTCAGTTCTTTCCAGTTTAATGGAAAGCATTATCAGTAAAAACCATGCACGGTACCGCGATGAGCACAAACAGCAGTTTCCTTTCGAACATTTTCATGCCCGCATATATTGAAACACAAAGTTTAAGCAAAGCCGTCTTTAAACCAACTGATAGAAAAAGCTTCATAGATGTATTTTTTCCCTATGAGACATAAGTAAACCAGACATGGTAGATTTCTTCAAATTCAAGGAACAAGTAAACTTACTTCACCCTACTGCTCTACTGGCTGTGAAATTTATGACCGAAATATCTGACACTGAGACAATCCTTTAAGACCCGGTTGGATACCAAGGCACAACATTAAACGAAAAATGAGAAAAAGCTATATCATTGACGTAAAGACGCATTTTAAAAGAAAACCTTCCAGTATATACATTTTCACCTCTTATCACCCACCAATTGTTAAAATGGATTTGACAAACAAGAAGCCTTGAGAATCCTACGAACAAACTCCTCTAAGGAAGTATTTCAGATTTCAAAAAGCGGTAGATGGACAGAGGCTAGCCACACAATTTTGAAAGACAAATTGCTATTAGACGTAAAACTCATAGATGGAAAGCAGCGCTCCTGAAACAAAACAACAAGGAAGAAAAAGAAATATTGCCTTTCGTGACACAATACAAGCCCTTAGTGTCTATTATAAAAGAAGCTTTAATGAAAAAGTGTAATCTCATACAAAACCAACCACTACCTTGCCAAAGTTTTAAAGAATCACTTAACCCTCGGACGTAAACGCAGAATCATATCCCCCACCATGGTACAAGAAGAGGGTAGGTGGAACCCCTCAGTGGCGGATCCAGCTCCCCTTCAGATAAGGGGGGGCCCGGTCTGCAAAAAAATTTTTTTCGGCCCTTAGGGCCTCATTTTGGTCGAAAAATAAGGGGGGCCCTCCCCTGGATCCGCCACTGCCCCTTCCCAGAGTTTTTGATATGTTGCAGTATTTCGAAGCGATTTTGCCTTCACTGAAAAGCCTTTGATCTTCTTAACAACATGAGGTATATTTTATGAACGGTGGCGCTGCTGGAGGCCTGTGACGTCACCGATAATGGTCGCCATCTTGGCCGCCATCTTGGATTTTACCAAGAATTAGAAATCAGGTTAAAACAGCGAGAAATGGTAATTGCTTGACATGAATAATAACACATAAATGAGCACTCTGCATGATTTTAGCCACAAGATTTACTTTTATTGTTGAAAAAAGTTGGAAAAAACATACATTTTCTCTCAAAATGGCTTGTACACCTGCTACTTATTACGTCATACCAACATACCTCGTAACCATAGAAACTGATCGTCACTGAACTTGTCTCAAAATGCGTGCGAGGGATAAACAACTATCTACTGAAAACGTTAGGTGCTGATGTTTTATCCTCTTGGAAATATCCCAGAAAAACCTAAGGGGGGTGGCATCCACACCCCCCCACCCCTTGTACGTCCGAGGGTTAAAGTGTTATTTCTTTGAGAAAGGAAAATATGGCAAAGGACATGCTTGTTAGAGCCAAAACGTTAAAGGTATAGATGTGCAGCCTGTCACCCCTTGCAGTTTTTCCCTAAGAATAATTTAAGTATCCAAAAGGCTACTGTGCCCTGTAGTCGACAGGGAAACCAAGTTCGCATTTGCAACAAAAGGTTTGGTGATTTTATCAGTGCTCATGATATTCATTTAGCAAATAATGGTGAAATAAACGATCATGTTGCATAAACAAACAAGAGCTAATGAAGTTAAAGTGCAATCAAATGATACATTCTTACAAGTTTTACTCTTTCCTTAGGGATCAAAGTCTTGAAACTGCGTGAAATACATAAAAAAATATTAATAATTTACAAGCGTTTTTACTTATTAACCGAGATTTTTCAACAACCGACAAAAATCAAAAAGTTTAACCGACTACCGACAAAGATCGAAAATTTTAACCGACTACCGACAAAGTAACTGAATTTTAACCAACAACCGACAAGTGGACCCCCCATTCAGACCCTCTAAAAGTAGCTTTAAGGTCATTTCTCTGGAATAAAACTTGCAATGAAATTTTTGTCAGACTTTACTTATTTTTGGTTGTTTATATTATAGAAACTTAAATTTTTAAATAAAACTGAGAGGTCCCCATACTCTTTTAGGAGCAGCACCAACCTGTATATACGCAGAATTCCTTAAAATACCAATATGATTATATTTACGATTGCAAGCTTTGAACACGCCTCCGACGATTTTTCTTTTTCTTCACTGAGAATGAGTCTATCTTTATTCTAGAGAAAGATCAGAAAGAAGATCAAGAAATATGCGCAGCAAGGATGCAAAACTAAGGAAAAACCTTTTAAGTACTCGTAAAACGGAGTACTGAGGGGGAGGGAGGAAAGGAGGTAAATTGAGCGCACCGTCGGTATCAGACTCGTCAGTCTAATGAGGACCGTCT